TATGATGCACAGGTTTTTCCCAGGTTATTTACTACCACCCTTAAAGACGATCTAGATGCAAATACAACGGGGCCATGCATTGAATTATATAATCAATCTTCTGCAGGCAAATGGTCGGGTACCTATGATGGATTTGGAAGAAAAGAATATAGACAGGGAACAAAGTACATAGCTAATGTTACAGCTATAATAGGGTGGAGGCCATATTGGGATAAAGAATCAAATAAAACTAAGCAACCTAAAATATTCCCCTCATGCGAAGGAGAAATAGGGGCTGACACTATTCCCTCCTGGACAGGATGCCAGGCCAGAATAACAGCTTTCTTAAAAGATAAAAAATTCACATGGTCACCCCCAATGGGAGATAGTTTCACTCAAGACTCCTTATAAGAATTTAATATTCATCCCTTTGATGCATGGTTGCTTTGTGGAATAAATGGGAGTTGTATAGACCTCCTCCCCATGCTATATATCAAAGAAGGCAAATATTTGATAACAACATTGATTTATGATTGGGTCGGGGACGTGCACAAAGGATCCATGAAGTGGGGGATAAAGACGGAGAAGATAAATATCCTGAAGGAAGAGGAGTTTCCTCCAGTCTGCCTTTGGCCCCCATTTATTTGGATTGTCAGCAAGACATATAATCAATCCATAGAGATGTTAAATTGTTCTTTAGATGAATGTGCTTATACCCCCTGCTGGAATGCTTCTATTTACCCTGTTGCCATTGCTACCCGCATGCCTCGATATATATCTGTGCCTGTAGCCACGCCAGGTACCCTATCTTTATTTAGGCATAAAAGAGATTTTGGCATATCTGCTGCCATTGCAGTCATCATTGCAGGAGCAGCAATTACAGGGGCTACCGTGGCATCCGCCATGGCATTATCCACATTGGTGCAGACAGCCACTTCAGTGTCTGCTGCTCTAGATTATCAAGCCTCTGCTAATATGCAGCTCCAAGGAGGTTTAATGCTAGTCAATCAAAGAATTGACCTCTTGCAAGAACAAGTGGACATATTATGGCAATTAGCACAATTGGGATGTGAACAGAAACTCCCAGGCCTTTGTATCACTTTTATCCAATATGATAATTTCACCCTTGCTGCTAACCTCTCTAGAAGTCTTTCACAGCATTTGAAGCTCAACTGGACTGCAGATTTCGAAGATACCTTAGTAAAATTAAGGGTAGCCATCATCCAGATCAATTCTACGCGAATCGATCTCTTGCTAACAGAAGGATTGGGCTCCTGGATCCAGTCTGCTATCTCCTACTTCAAGGAATGGGTGGGGGTGGGAATGTTTGGATTCTTTATAATTTGTGGGATGCTCTTTGTGTTATGGTTGGTCTGCAAAATGAAAATAAGATCTAATAAGCAAAAGGCAGTTGTTGCACAGGCCCTCGCAGCGCTAGAGGCCGGATCACCCATAGATATTTGGCTTGAGATACTTAAATAATCAATATATATATACAGGTCGCTGAATTCTGTTGCTTTGCACCATTTGGGGTGAAGACCCATTGCACAAATGAAGAACAGGATTCTAGCAGTTCAAAGGGAATGTCGAGCAAAGCATCGCAGTAGATGATACATAGACGTTATCATCTATGAGAATATGCCTAATTGCACAGAGGTCGGGATGCATGAACCTCTCTCTCGTAAAAGCTCCCTTCAGTGTTTAGGGGCCACTCTGCACCCTATAGAGAGATTAGGCCTCTATTCTCTTCCCTAAAGAATGGCCTGTCTTTAAATAAAAGAGAAGGGGGACATGTGGAGAGCCACAGCCTCCGCCGCCATTACAAGATGGCGCCGGTATCCGGACCTTCTTAATATCCAACATCCTGCTGCACCCATAAGGGGCGTGCACAAGAGCCTGCCCTCCCTCGTCTCCTCCCATGGCGTGATCTCCAGCAACCAATCCGCTTCTTATATGTCATAAATGGGACCTTTAGGGCATATATAAGCAACAGCTCTCCCACTTCTCGTCGTCTTCGGTCTTCATCCTTAGTATGCTATGTAAGAGGCTTATGAAATAAACTGCTGCAGAAGGATCCTGACTTGTCCTCCCGCGTCGTTCTTGCCGGCGAGACGGAAAGCGGTCGGGGACAGTTGTTTTTCCTTCCAGTGTATTATTTCTTCCTTTGCTGCTGTTCCTGCTGTCCTTAGTGTACATGACTATATCCAATTGGTTATTTTCTTTCAGTTTCACACTGGCCAGGCTTCTTCTCTTCTAACCTTCCCACCTTTCTCTCTCCCACCTCTTTTTCCTTCAGTCCTTTTCTTTTATGGACAGCTGCAAAGAGAGAACAAGGGCTGTCCCAGGGCCTTGGTGGCACCAGAGTGAAGCATCCAGCAACTTTCACTTCAGACAGATGGCCAGTCTCAAACAAGCAAACAAAAAATGTGAACACTGTTGTGAACACGGCAGGCCGTAGAGACAGATTCCTTAGAATCCATGTCTACTCTGGGAAATTGTTTTACAAAGTACAGCAAAAACAGGAAGGGCAGAGAGTTCTACTGTGAGACCCAATCTCACTCCAGTGAAATACAAAATTCATAATTTTTTCTGCTCCCTTTATCTTTTAAAGAATGTGTATACCATAAGTCAGCAGCAGACACAGGAAACCTTCAAGTTTTCTTCATTAAGCAATAATTTCTCCTCTCAGATATTTTATGACATGGTGCACATCTTTAGTTACTTACCCACTTTAGTTTTTCCGGGTTCTTATGGTCTAACCAGTGACCCTGTGCTTAAGTTCTGGTAAAAAGATTTTTTTCCCCAAACATAAAAGCTTTCCAAAATCTGATCATATAGGCAGAAGGATTCCTTAAAAGGTTTCTCTACCTCTAGGAAATTAACTCTCTACTTGTGGTACAACAAAAAGAAACTAAACAAACAAACAAACACCAATGAGACATCTAGTTTCTTACCTCTGAAGGGAGGGACCACAGGAAAAGGAAGTTGCAGGGAAGATAGAGCAGCTGCACGTTGCAGTGTTTTTTTGGTTGAGGGTATTGCTACATCCACCTTCAAGCTCAATAACAAGTTTAGAGGTCAAATAATGGCTTTCAGAAATGTGGTGGTGACACAATGTCAGGTTCACTGATATGGAGGTAATTAGAATAATCATTTGACAGATTTTTTTTTGTAATATTGAGAAGAAGAAAAGACAGGGTAGCAAGCCTGGCTTCTGAAGTTATGTTTAAGTCTGTCTTTAATGTGGAGGATTAATTAGGATTGGGTAACATATTAGTGGATATATCAATTGAGGGGTTTTGAGTGAAGTATTCAAATAGTCTTGGATTCTATTCTCTTTTAGCTGTTTTCTATTGAAGATTGTTTGGAACTATGAGGAAGCTACTGGAATAAATAATTAATAAAGATGGCTACAACTTGTCTCTAGCAGAACATTCCTTGGATAGTGCATACATGCTGATGGAAACAGAAGACAAACAAATCAGGTTAACTGAGTAGTCAGCATGCAAGTGTAGGTGGCTTCACTCTACAACATGGTGGATATCTTTGAGAAAGAAATCAGTATTTGCCACTTATTCCATGTGTTTGTATTTTGGAAGGAAGTACACCCTAGAAAACACATTTGCGAATATCTGCTGCACCCAACATTCATGCATGGAGAAGTTAATATTAGGAGGCCTTTTCATAAAATGAACAACAGGACTTAGAGACACCAGTTCTTTTTAAATGGAGCAAGTTCTTCCTTGAATGCTACTAAAGAAATTCTCACATCACATCATTTCTCTTTGGCCCTATTTTTACTCCTTCCAAGAACTGCCGGCAGCAGCCACATGGAGCCCCACTTTCCTCCTCCCTTTTGGAAGTCACAGCACCCAGGGGCACAGGTCTGTCTCACTGGCTAACCACCAACTTGAGGTTTTTCTGCATCATGCTACTGCCAACAAATCCTCCCAAACTCCAGGTGGTCCCCAGAGCTCACCTAATTGGAGCGTCCCTTCCAAACTGAGCAGTTAGTTTTCTGTGCTTGCTGTGTGCCCTGAAACTTTCCACCCAGTAGCAACAATCTTCTGCAGAGTGAATAAACAAACCAACAGCAACTGTGCCTCTGAGCAAGAGGCAGAGAAATTTGTAACTAAAAATAGTTTTTTGTTGATACCAACCCTCTCTGCAGAACCACCTTGGGCATGTTCACTGCAACCACTAGTGAGCTGGAGTGGATTCAAGGGCTGGAAGTAGGGCCACATCCTGTCCCCCTAAGCCCCCATCTTCTTTAGCAAGAGCAGGACCCGGCATCACAGTCAGCCTGAACTGCATCAATTTCTGTCTCTGCTCTCCTGGGCTTTTCTATTCCAGAACACTCAGAACCACTGCTCCTAGTGGGGATGTAGTTGGAGTGCAAATTGCAGAATGAGACTCATAAGGAACTTAACTGGATGGACTTCAGGACACTCAAGCCAGGACTTGCTTCTGGACATGTCCCTCTTTATGCATAGAGAATAGAAGTAGAGGTACCAGTCCTGCAGCACCCTTTCCTGTGGCCCTGGAGGTAGGTGGGAAGAAGGATATTTAGGGGGCGTAAGGGCTGCCTGGGGGCAGAATCCCCTGTAGTCAGGACTTTTTGACAGTCAGGAAGAAGCTACAGGGCCAGCAGAGTAAATGCCCTTGCATTAGTTGATTTTCCAAACCAACTTCAGTGGATGACATTTTCAAACCTGACAAAGAAGATTTTAAGGACTCCAGAAATATATTAATACACCCCAATTACTGTGAAGTGCTTGGTAGTTTATTGTGAATTGAGATGTGATGAAAATGTAAAAACAATATCAGTGTACTTAAAAGAACTTAGTATGCCCTTATACTCTTGATATTCCTGACAGATTGTCTGCTGTGTTGTCGGCACCCCCAGCCATTCCCCACTACTTGCCCTTCTGGTGAATCTAGTCAGCCTATCTAGAGGTCTTTGTTTTAGGAGGGTCAGCTGTTCCTCTTCTAGCAGCAATCAGTTGTCAATACTCCTTTAAATAAGATTGGGGTCTGCGGTTCATTTTCCCAGTTCTATGCTGGGTTACTATCTGGGAGTCCCTTTGGCCACCCTGGCCAACAACTCAAAAGAAGATATCTCCTATCTGGCATTGTTGCTTGTATTATATTTGAGTTTTGGAGTATGTTAGTTTGCTTTTTAGGACACAAGATGGCCCCCTAACCCCAGGGAACCAACTACCCCTCCCTCACGGGGCTGATCACATGATTTACAGGAATTCTAATCCCGATCAGTAAAATGAAACTGTAAACTGAAACCTAAGCTGTCTGCTCATGTATGACCTGATCATTGTACTCTTTCCTGAATGATTATTGTACTCTCTCCTGAATGACTTAAAAACCCTATTTAAGCTCGCTGTTTCCTCAATAAAGTAGATCTGTGTCTCTGAACCTGGTCTCCTGTGTCTGAATGTGGCATCGCTGACACAGCCTCCTCACCAGCCCTGGGGTCCGGAAACAGACAGCAGCAGCTGGCGCCCAACGTGGGGTGCTCATGGACTCAGTCTTCAGTTTGGTGTGTTACTCCTGTCCCCGCCTATCATTTCCTTAAACAGCTTCTGAGTCCCTTCAGGTACATCATGCAGGATAATGTTCCAGCCCCCATCTGGATTCTGGCCCGAAACATCAGAGTTCCCTGTGATGCAGCTGACTCCAGAGATATTGACCTCAGAGATGATGACAAAACCAGAAACCCAACCCACGAAGAAGACAGCCCAATGCCACAAGGCCAGGAACCAGCCGGACCCACCTACACAGCAGATGAGAGACCTGACCATCGATGACCATCCAAATGGAGGAGGGCCAGAACATTCCAGGTGACGGATCTCTGTAACCAGAGCACTTACCTTCCCTCTAATGAATCTTACTTATGACCTCCTCCTGATGCCTGGTGGGCTTGTGCTTTTGGACTCACTCCTTGTATCCACTTAATCACTCTCAACCGTTCTGCTCCCTCGTGGTGCCTGCTAGCCCAGCTAACCCCAAAAGTCAACCTTTATTCAGGGGACGAGATGGACCTTAAGCTTTCCCCATTGGAACATTCATGCCATAAGAGGACAGCTGCCCTGGTGATTGTTGGCACCACTCTTTTGGGGATCAGTATTGCCATCCCCTAGGGTTAGGAACGTCAACACTGATCCTACAGGACAAAAATTATAATGCCCTTAGTATGGCTATTGATTCAGACTTAAAGGGATTACAAACTGCTATAGAACATCTTGAGAGTTCCCTGTCCTCCCAGGCCGAGGTCACCTTACATAATAGGTGGGGCCTGGACCTCTTGCTCCTTCAACAGGGAGGATTATGTGTTGCTCTAGGAGAACAGTGCTGTCTCTATGCTAATCATTCTGGTGTCATAAGGGACTCCTTGAGCTTAGTCCGCAAAAGGATCTTAGAGAGAGAACAGACCAGGGTAAAAAACCAAAACTGGTATGAGTCACAATACTCCTCTCTGCCTTAATCAGGTATCTGGCCCTGCTCCTTCTGGCCTTAATCTGTGGCCCACTTCTTTTAAGAGCCTTACTTAACTTTATTAGACACTGGCTTGCTACAATTCAACTTATGATGGCACTGCCTCACTTCTTACCCCCTACCCCCAGTCATGACCATACCCAGGTTTGAAAAAGATAAAAGTCATGGCCACAGCCATACAGCGGGCCTAAAACAACTGGGGTTATCCTGCTGGGAGCCTTTATGGGGACTACCTTGGCTCAGACAATGCAGATGTTGATCTTAGAGAGTCCTGGACTGAAACTACATTTAAAGGCCCTGGCTCAGATGAGACGATGCCAACAGGCTTGTCTGTT